ATGTGGTGATGTACTAACAGTGCACAGGAATATTGAAGTTGCTACTTGAAATACAATTTGTACAAAAACTTGAATCAGAAGATTGATCGTGAAACCTTCATATAAATAAGCCTTTAATTTCCATGAACATGTAAAGGCTTGCAAGTGAGCCTCTGGTCATATTTTAATGCATTAAACACTGTGTCATTAAGAAATGCATTAAATCCCTCATGAAGAACAAACTGAAAACCAACCCTTCTCTTCTCCAAATCTCTCTACAACCTTGGGGGGTGGGGGAGAAAGCTTGAAAACAATGTTGAAACTACAAATGGCATATAAGAAAATCCAAAATGCATTATCAAATGACATTTTGAACAGCTGAAGTTAGGAACTGCAAAGGAAAATGAGCTAGGAGTGCCCAAGTACAGAACCATGCACTATTTTTTTTCCTGTTAGGTAAAAGCAGAAAGAGAAAACCCCTTTCAAAACACTGGCATTTATGTAAAAGCAGATGAGGTTTCTATTAAACATTTACCTTTCACAGTAAGCATATTTTTGCTTTGTTAGCTGATGACTACCACTGTTTTCTCTATCGAACAGGATTAGCTTCCTCAGACGTTCCCAACCCCCCAGATAACCACACTTTATGAATCATCACATTTATAACCTGTCAGGCGTGGTCGGACACCTTAAGGCAAACTGGGACCCTGTTTCAAGCAAGACCAGTTAACTACTTAACAGCTCAGCAGACAGTAGGCTGGTAAACTTTTCTGAAGCCTCAGATGCATTTTTACTCAATAGCAAAAAGAGAGAGTAATACCTTATCTTTTTGAGAGCTGTGGTCATGGGTAACCCCAAATGAGATTATTACAGATGAAGTCACATAGAGGAGTGTGCTGCAACGCATAGACTGGAAGGTGGATAGGAGTATAAAAAAAAAATATCAACTCAGAAGTTTCTAAAAAATCATTAATTTTTAAACAAGGCTCCTTTTTAGAGGAAATAAAAATACTGCAATCTCTGCAAGAATTTTCCTATGGACTTTTGGAACTGTGAGCTTATCTTGGACTTTCCCCTTCTCCAATTCCATACAATTTCGGCTTCTTAAAAGCTTCCCAGAACCCAGTACTTCTGAATGGCACTGCACTGTAACACATGACACAAGGTAAATAACTACAACAAAGAAAAATATTGAATGAAAACATAAAACTCACATTCAGTGTCCCCACTAGACCTGTTCAGTCTCATCTGTGCATCGTCAGTAGTTAATTTTTTTAGTGTAGGCTCATGTCCATAGCTTTATTTGGTCTTAAAAGCTCAGTGAAGAGTTCAGTAGCTCAGACAAGGCGGCAGTTAGTGCCTCGGCCTGGCTGGCGTCTCAGGAACACAAGGTTATCCTGCATGTAAATCATGAGGCATTAGAATTGACTTTTTTTGAAAGCCATGATATAAAAGATTATCAAAACCTCCAGCCACTATCTGGATCTGGTTGGGGTAAGTAGTCTATAAAGGGGGCTTCTGAAGTGGCCTTTGCATTTATTAATTTATTGAATCACTGGGAGAACTTTGTAAATATATAATGCTTAGTACACCTTTGCCACAAGAAAATAGATGCTGGCTAAAGACAGGAGAATGACTTGGAGTGACAAATTATTCTGGACAAAATCACAATCAACAGTGCCTTATTTCATAGCTGCCATTCGTGGAATAACATGCATTGCCGATAGTCCTACATAAGAGGACTACAAGATTTCTAACAGTGGAGAAAGGTCAAAGCATGTTGGAGACTAAAGTATAACGAGCAAAAACTCCGAGTTTTCCCTTTGAGCTGAGAAACCTGCCCTGCTTCCCATCCCAACCCCCGCCAACGCAACTATTACTCACCCTATCAGTTCTGAACCAAACCCTGGAGCCCATTATTTTACCAAGCTTGATTTGACCAAGTATAACTTCGTTATAAGGATGCCATTATTATCTTAATGTACCATACAGTTCTGTTTAAGTTCTCACAGAACATGTGCCACTAACCCACAGGGGAAAAAAAAAAAAAAAAAGGCAAACCAAAAAACACAACACACAACCCCTTTTTTCTCCTCACTACATTTTTACTTACGCAACAAAAAGAGACTATTGACAAGTAGTATTAGTGGAATCAAGCTGATATAATTTCAGAATACAATGGAGAACATAATGAACTTCTGAGGGTTTGATAGGGCGCATTTCAGAACAGCAGAGGGAGGAAGGGTATTTGAAATATTACAATACATTGATGCGCCTCACTACAGCAATAAACATTAGCCCAAGACTGATATTTGCTCCAATACTTTCTTACTGATTTCCAGTACTTTCTTTTTCATACCAGGTGGGCATCCTTCCCAGGAAAACTGTAATCTTTCTTGGAATGGACAGATTTCAGAGAAACACTATGCAAACACTGCTATCTTCCCTCTGTGATCTTTATCTAGTTACAAAACTGCATGTTAAGGATGAGATGTGATTGCTCTCACATAGAATTTAAGTGTAAAATAAAGAATCAACAACACTGCTTTAAAATGTTTGCAATAGGAAAAAAAAAAGTGTTCTACGCCAAAGGAAGCTTTTCTAACAAAGACACAGCAGGCCCTCTGTCTCCAGGAGTGTATGCATTAGCTTTTGATTAAAGCAATTCCCAATATTCCAGGCACATATTTAATTGTAAATGAACTTTCCATTTAGTGACTGAAGAAAATTAATTGCTTAAACAGAAAGCTTTACTCTTAAAAAAAACAGACAAGAAAAACAATCCCCCTAAAAACCTAAACAGAAAAACCTACCCCACAAGAAGTCCTATAAATTCAAGATACATATAACTAAAGAAAAAAATAATTAAAACACCATTGCCAAACTAGTAATTTCTGAATACAACTTTTCCAAATATATTAAAACCTTAAAAAAATCATTAATTTTACAGTGTACTTATTTCTTGAAAAGGGACTGTACATAACAGTTTTGTTTAATATTGATTCATCTTGCAGAGCTTTGATCATTTTAGAAATCCTAATAAAAGCAGTTTACTTCATGCCTGAAAACTCCATGGGAGATGCAAAACTAAGTCTTGCTTACACCTTGCAACCGGTATTTCAAAGGAACTTGTTCTAAGAATTTAGTAACTTCGCTGATTGAAAAAAAAAAAACCAACAACAACCCCAAACAAACAAACGAAGACAGACAAAAAACCTCACCAGTTTTCCTGTGTGAGGGCTATAGAGGGTAGCAAAAATAGGAAGAAAAAAGTCCACTGAACCATATGACTCTAGATATCAAGATGAAAGCACACCTTCTCCAAAGTCAGTAAGAACTGTTAAAAGTTGTACAAAAGGATTTTGAAAAGGTCAGTTAAATGACTACTCACTACTAGAATAAGGCTTATTCTAGTAAACCAAAACATTCGTGGTTAGAAAAATTGAAGTGGATTTCATTCCTACATTAAAAATATGTTTCCATTTGTCAGCTCATGGTTTTTAGTACAACGGTACATCATTCTGGGAAATGAATGATGCAATCAACTCTTCCAATACAGAAAGGGCTAGACAGCATGTGATTTAACAGTAATGAAATACTTGAAGCAAACAATTTTGGTAATACATACCAGTGAAAAGGAGATGGCTCCCTTACAGATTTTTACTGAAAACAAGAGGGAAAGCAAGACAAACGAGCAGTTAAGTTCACTATACTCCCACTAACATATTACAAGTAAATACAGTTTTCCAAGAACCCTGGATCTCTATTTGCTCTGCAAAACACAGGCTTTCGGAGCAACTTTGAAAATCCTTCCACATGCTGGAAAACCAATCTCCGTCCTCAAAAGGGAGGAAATCCTTAAGAAGCCTCCTGTCTTTGCTGTGTGAACACTCAAGTTCATAGGAAAAACTCACACTAGTTTTAGCACAGGCAGACTGTGACTTACCTGCTCTCAATAAAGACAGGTTCTTCCTGAAAACAAATCTGAGTTGGGTGGAACTCAGCTTGAGCTGTATCCTCTATTCTTGCAAACTAACTTCAAGAGAGAGCCTGAGAAACATTTCCAGATTACCTTTTTTTTTTCCTTTTATACTTTTTTTTTTCCTGCCAGGCAGGAAATGGACAGATACATTTCTGAATCAATAGGGAGCTGCTGCAGATTTTCACAGATGAAGTGGTTTTATAATAAAACAGTCCCATTTATTTTTCACCTGCATCTTTTGAAAGAGCTCTGCAAATTAAAAATCAAAATACGAAGTCAGAGAACTGAAAAGCATTTCTGTACCTTTAGAATTGCTACTGATTCAAATTAGAGACAACATACAGCATGATACAAAAAAAAATAATTAGAGAATTGCCAATTTAAGTCTCCTACTTATGGATTTAGCAATCATTTGACACTGAAGTGTTGTTTTTCAAGATATATTTAGCAGTATGTCCTGATGTATTTGCTTCTTACCTGCACCAAAAGGCTCATTCTCCGAGTTTACACCTCTATCTGAAAGGATTTGTGTTTGGAAATATATGGAGGGATTTTCTACCTTTTTGGAATGCCAATAACTACATGAGTCTGTATTAGATCGCTAACCTGATCTTTACAATCAGAGGGAGCTGGGGAAGATTGTGCATCTATGCACGTAAGAGTAACAAGCTTTTACACCACACTTGAAGACTTGATGGGCTAGGAAATAATAATTATGTTCTATTTATAGTGTCCTTTTCCTGAATGACATTTTAACTTTATTTCTCATTTAGAACACTCACCAATAAGTGCTGGTTTGCCTGACACTTTGCATATTCCAGGACAGTGCTGCTCTATAATCTTTCACTTCCTCCTTCCATCTGCCCTGAAAAGAAGTTTACTTGCACAGTATCTATTTTTAGCAGGATAGACCCTATATTTAAAATTAGTTCTAGATAGTTGCTAATTCTTAGCTTAAAATAAGTCCTATTAGCGGTGACTCACCTTCAAAGAGATTAAATTCAAATTTAAAAGTTGCATTTATAAAGAAAACTCAGCATTTTCTAGGAAATATTCGAAATTCTTTATTTCAGGCCAGCATAGTATTGTTACAGGTATCCATCTCTTCCTCCGCACTTGCACATGATCAAAGTTGGCACTTGCAACCACCAAAAAAGTTCCATGGTTATTACAGTACAGGCACAAAGTAGCTGAACAGCTTTACTTTCATGTAGCAAAGCTGTGATTGTGCTCTAACAGCATTTATTACCAGTGCATAGATTGTTCTCTCCTCCTAAAAGCAAGCAAGAGAAAACTCCCTTAACGGAAGGACCACAGATGGCAGCTCTGCTACTAAAGCAGTCGTTTCATCAGTGAATGGAAGAATGATAGATATTTGGATACCCTAGATGCCTGCCTTCCTTGCTTTCAGCTGCCCTTACTAGTTCACACAGGCTTGCTTAGAACTGGATTAAACATCCTTGCAGGTCTTCACTACTGCTTTCATTGTTATAATCACCATCAAAGTTCCACATCTGAAGAACAAACAGGATTATTTTTTATTTGTTAAACAACAAAAAACCTAGAAGAATGTCAGTATTGCAATTCCCTCGCCTAAAACCCTGCTTTATAACCACCATTTAAAATCTCTTTCCTTTCTAGAAGTATCAATTCCCTTCCATCAAGAAGGCAGCACCAGAGACACTTCATACCACTTAGCGTAAATTAACACAACTAGTGTATTTTACTGCATTTCAAACTTCCAGTTACAGTGGTAAAAGTTAGCAATTAGCATATGGAATGAGTATCAGATACTTACATGTACCAAAGGCAAGTTAGTCACAAAAACCTCTAGAAATACATTACAAATAAAACTAGCAGCAAACACTGCTATCATTACACAGTACTTTCACGAAAAATGACTGATTGGACGGCCATCTGGAAAATAAGCTGACACCTATAATGTTACAAAAATAGCAAAACAAATATTTGATCATAGTAACTGTATGAACAAGTGTTAGAAAGAGGGAAGTAAGCATGATTCAGTTAACACAAATTCTACTTATACAAGAGTGCCTCCAAGCCACAAAATGTGTAGTTTCAGCTTTACATTAATAATCAAGACTTCAGTCTGATAAATGCAACCGACTCTGGCAGGCATGCCTCAACAGGCAAGGGAACATAATTCCACAGGTTCTTCTCCAGAGCTTGCAGCCCCATACCGTTGGTAAGAATGCCAGCCTTTGCTTATACAACACTTTGTAGCAGCAAGGTGTACTGCAGTTCAGAAAGGAGGGAAATGGCAGAAATGCGTATACCATTCTTTCATCGGAGGTAAATTTCAGAATATGCATGATATGTGTACAGTTTGGTTCTAGGCACATCTTTGGTTACATTCTCAATCCAGTCTGCTTTACAAAAATAAATAAATAAAACAGTCAAGACTTGGTTAAAGTCCAGGCAACGATAAAACTTCTTTTTTTTTTTTTTTCAGAAACCAAGACAATGGAAGTCCCTTTAAATTGATGTTTTATTATCTCCATAAACGATAAAATCCCAGTGCTACAGTAAGGCATGTAAATACTGAACCTGAAAGAAAATAAAAATGGGGGGGGGAAATGGAGACAATAAATCATTAGCTCTCAGAACATTTCTTCAGAACGCTATGTACACATCTTACTACAATACTAAAAGTATAACCACCACCCCTTCCCCACATAAGAAAATAAGGCTTTTATTTTACAACAAATAATTTCAAGGTGGAGGGGCACAAAAATGTCAACTAAGAAGGAAGGAAAAAAAGAATGCAGGGACACTGGGCTGGAAAACTATCAACAGGCTGAAAGAAACCTTTAGTTGCTTACCATTCCAAAAAAGATCAATATGGCAAGTTACAGTTGTAAAGTGAGGAAATGAATAACAGAATTATTAAATCACAGTCAAGTATTCAGCAAACAAATAAATGAAAGCTATCTTTAATGAGGCTTATCAGTTTGCAATTTTTTAAATCTCTATGTAAATGAAATCAACTTTTGGTTCCTAGATATGTACACAAAAGATTTTTGCCATTGTTTGCAACAGGAGCACTTCAAACACAATGCAAATTATTATTTTTTTTTTCCATGCAGAGTTCAACGTGTTTTTGGGTAGAGATGGTGGGGAAAAGAATTTCCTCTTATTTTAATAAATGGCCTTTTATTTTCCAGTAATGGTTCTCTCTAAAGGATATGCTTGAAGTACAGTACTATGAATAGACGTGATTGTACTTGTGACAAAATCCATTGTGAAAGAATAATCAGAAAATCTAATTCAGAAGAATAATTTTCTACTGCAAACTTGCTCATTTAATAGCACCGCACACTCAATAGAAAAACATCAAAATACAAGTTACCTAGGGCAATAATGTAGGCATACACACATATATAGTCTTTATCTAATGCACATGCCTGAAAAAAATGAAAGTTTAAAGAGTATGTGGTGCCGAACAATCAGAAAAGCTGAACTGTTCCATTTTGCACACAGATCTCCACCAGACAGATGAAGAAATCCTAGAAATGCATGTAGCAGGCTTCTCTTATAAATTAAGTCAGGCACTGAAGAACTCTGTGGCCCTTTTTAACAGGCAGTCTTTCAGATTTCTCGTACATGTTATTATTACAGTATAAACCAAAGGAAAAAAACAAGAAGTCATACAGCCATAGCTCATGCAAAGTAAAGTTGTGAATCATAGGAAACTTTGGGTTAAGTACACAAATACGAGTGCTTATCTTGACTGAGACTATTTCAAGTGTGTTTTCTCTTTTTTTAATCAGCGCCTTTATGAATACAGTCAATCAAGAGTTTACCAAACATTTAACAATGTTTAACAGTTTCTCACCAAAGACAACCATCAGATTCCTTACCTGCTAAGTACTTAATATTATCAAGTTTGTGCGTTTCGAGCATTGTTTTCAGATCTGCAACTTCTGTGTCTATTTTTCTGTCTGTTTGGGTCAGAGCTCGATCTTGTTGCGCATGCTAAAAAACAATGCAACAAAATTATGCTCTTTGAACAGTTTCTAGTTTATTTAGAAATTTAATCCATCTCTCCAAGTCTTATTTCTGGTTCCTCCTTAAATGTATGTTAATTTGCATTCAAAGTGAAAAAGTTCCTTCCTAACAGATTATATCCAAGGAACTGAATAGTTTGGAGAGCTTGGGAAATTTATATGATTACATGTTCCTTAACACATAATCTAGGAAGTAGCAGAACTGGATGCCTCCTTATCTCAATCTAGCAGCATAAACATTAACTTCCACCTGTCACTGGGCCCACTGACATTTCAGTCACTGCTCAATTATAAGAGCTATCGAGAAGTCTAAGAGCCTCTTGTGGCAAAAACATACCAGAGCATAAAGATTTATGGATCATTAGAAAAACGGATAATTGGTCTTTTGATGTAAAAAAGCATGACTTCATCTTTTAATGAATTCTACCAAAAAAACAGCTACAGAAAAATTCAGAATCTGATTATGACAGAAGACAGGGCTTCTGTCAAAAAGGGGGATAGAATTATTACTCAGAACAGACTGAAAGACCAAACTTGTAAACTGAGAATAACAGCTGCTGATCTTTTCAAACCAGCACTGCTGAAACACTGTGAATCAGTTAATGACTTAGTGCTACACATCTTCCTAGGGATAATTCCCTATATTACAGAAAGGAAACAAAAGGAAGAGGAAATGCTTGGTAAAAACCTCCTCTAAAATGAACCAAATCAATCTAACAATGTGTTTCAGTCTCACTGAACACAGGGGAGGGGGGGAATAAAAATTAATTTGACAAACTAACATTAAGAGTAGAACTCTAATCTAGAGAAAACATTATATACATGAAGTTTCAAAACCAAACAGTTCATATATACATGCAGAGGATCTAATAATATAAATATGAAAGCCTTTTTACTCTGGAAAACACTGCAGTTACCTGTACCAATATGAAAATTCCACATATGTGGAAATAAAGCACAATGACATTTTGTACACTAAGTGTCAAAAGCAATAATTAGGCCTATAACACAAGTACAAAAAGATTTGCTGTGTAATAATCAACTACCAAGTTCTTACCAATTCCACTATTTCTGTCCTCATTTCAAGTAGTTTTCTTTCATTAAGTGAGTACTAGAGGGGGAGGGGAAAAAAAAGAAAAAAGATGCTATTAGCCAAATACACATTTTCTCAATAATTTCTATGCTACAAGCATCTTTCTTGATGTTTGTATTTGTTAAAGTTTTACTTGGTGGGTAGAACTTTCTAGGTCAGACCCAAGGACTTTAAACTTCAGTTCAAAACAGTGAAATATGCCCTTTTATTGCAAGGCATCACTACAGACCTATAATAACAGCAGTGCATAAAAAAGCAGGAAAGATAAGGTTAAACTTCCTCCTTGAAATTCAACAGGGAGATTTCCCCTTAAGTCCAAGTCTTTCACAGTACAGAGAAAATTCAGTTTTGTCAGATGCAGCTTGAGATTTTTAATAGCAAGCTTAGAGGCACTGTGGTGCATGAACACATGAATATATATGGAATTTTGTACCGTACTTCGAGTAGGATTATCCAAGAAATATGTAGTGGAACGGACTAATGAAAAGAGAAAGCATTTAGAGTTTGAAACATTAAAGGCTGCCCACAGTGTTGACAAATTAAGAAATTCTCCTTCAGTACTTATTCCAAGCAAAACTGAAGAAAGTTTTACTTGGTGTTTCAAAATAAATCAATTTAAATTTAGGACATTTCTCTTCTGAACAGTAACAGTAAGAATGCACAGTAACCTTCAATTACGAATTTTGTTCTCAGAAAGCTAGATATTCAGTCCTAAATCACATTACAATTGAAGTAAATACGATAATGATGCTCTGCCTACTATAGAAAATACTGGATTATGCCTCACCCACAACTCAGCAGTTGTGCTACAACCTGTCCCCCATTCATCTGCCTTTTTCCTTTTCTATTCACGCATGGCAGAGCTGGCAATTAAAGTGGGGGAGTAGGGGAAGGAAAAAACAAAAGAAAAGAGCAGTTTTCATAGAAACTATGAAACTACGAAACTACAGTTGCACAACAGACTACAAAATTGGTCAACTTTTTAAAGAGAAAGTTGACATGCACAGTCTGCTTTTCAAGGGAGGCAGTCAACACTATGTTGTTTTGACACACTGTGTTGTTCTGCACAATAGGCAGAGTTCAGATCCCAGGTTCCTACATAAATATACAAGAAAACACTAGTGCCTAATTTATCACTAGCAAAGTGGATTTAAATAGGTTTTGTAAGCCCGAAGTATTGCAAGGCTTATGATGTACACAGTTAATACATGTCATGTTTTTTGGGTTGGATTTTTTTTTTTAAAAACATTAGCATGAAGTATTAACCTTTAAACAGGAATTCTACCTGCTCAAATTTTACTTTATTCAAGCATCTACCATGGGATAACAGACTGTTAGTCATTATGCTAAATTACTGACACAGCTGTTACCTAAACTAAATATTGTGAAAAACTTCAAGGGTCACACACAGAAGATAAATGATACCTACTTAAACAGTTCTTAATTGCCTAGATTGAAGATAAATATTATGTCTTCACTACACCTGTGAAAAAGGACTGAGTATGAAATAATACTAATAGAAAAGTGTCATTAAAAGATCTTTCAATGTAGAAGATGCAATTTCTTTGAGATCCTAAAAGCAATTAAAAAAATATCTATGGGAACAGAACTCTAGAGTGCTACATAATGGAAAAACTTGTTAATCTTCTAATTCTTCATCTACGTTGTTCTAATTTAAGATCACAAATTCAGTTCTACGAGATATGTCAAAGATCAAAACAATCTGAACCAGTATGAGTTACAACTGAAAAAAACCAAACCCAACTATTTTCACAACAGGCATTTCCTGACAAACTAGCTATGCTATAAATTCTCTAACTAAAGGAAATAAAACATCTTCAGTGATGATAAATTTAATAAAACATGTAAACTTAATTGTGAACAGAGAGAAACACTAATAATTTAGAAATACAAATAACATAGAAAACTTACAGGCAGTTAGTCAGCATATTTAGAGTAAATATCTAATAGATCTAAGCGTAATGTGTTAATCATGATATTAAACCAATATCAAAATAGATAGACACACCAAACATGGCACCTTGTAGTAGAGCAGCATAAGGATGAGTAACTTCGATTAATACTTTCTTGAAGCTGAATGATACTATAGATTAATATGAATGTGCTCTTTTGGTAAGATGCTCTTAATCAAGTTTGGAGGATACTCACTGTTTAGATATTTCTGGAAAAAGGTAACCAAAACTTACCAATTCTTTTACTCTGCTCTTCTCTAGGTTTAGGTTTAACTTGTTATCTGCACGAACTTTGGTAATTTCATCCTAATGGGAAAAAGTTGATAAAGCAGCAAGATTTTCTACTTAATCATAAGCAGAAAAAAACCCCAGAAATATATTGTGCCTTTCCTTACACATGTCAGGAATCAAGCTTCTCTCCAATTAACATACATGATTTTCAAAAGTATAAATATTCCTATTCTACCCCCAGGAAATACTCATGTTCTATAGTATGAATTGGATCCCAGAATTTAAAACTAACAATGGCTTTTAAAACCAGAACACTGAGAACAGCAGTTAATTGAGAGCACAACTTTCTATAAATGCTGGGAACGTTTCATGTATCCCGTAACCTTCTGATTTCTAGAAATCCATGCCTAGGTACTCGTGTTAAGTTGGAGTTCCTCCATGAAGCAATCCTGATGCTCAAAATAACTTTAAAAGCAGTTTCTGGCCTTTCAATGTAAAAGAAAATCTGTTTCTGAAGACTCCATCTAGGGCTTTCAGAAAAAGCTACAGACATTTTAGAATTCAGGAAATGTTTGTTACGTTTTTAAACATCTAATTTTTTTGAGCTACTGTAAGGTGTACACTTGCATTTTACTTCATCAATAGCTGTAAGTGATTCCTGCTTTTCTCAGTGACAGCTGCCATTTCACTGCAACCTCCTGGCAGGAATTCCAGCCAGCTGACAGTTTGTCATGAGACAAACTGCTGATCAGACAAATGTGTGGGAGAAGCAGAAGATTGCTGATGTTCTGGGAGATTCTACTATTAAAAACAACTAAGCATCTCTCAAGCAGGCCAGACCAACTAGTCAAGAGTTCATTAAGTTAGTATGAATAATAATTAGATGCAATTTCCAAGTTTGAATTTTTTAACTGGTTTATAATTAGATGTTATTGCAACATGATACATCGGACTTTAATGAAATCAAAAAGTTAGAAATAATTTCTTAAATTTTTACAACATTGTGTCTTGTGTTTCAGAGGAACAAGTATGAGCAAATGTGATTCTCACAGGGGCAAGTTATGTTATATTTGCAGTTGAAAGTAAAATTTAGACATCTAGCTTTTATGAAAGATGACTCGGTTCCCTTGATGCTCTACCAGTGGATTACACTAACTCATTTACATGCAGCTAAAACCATAAAATAAGTTGCAATTCAAAAATTAGATTCTGAATATATTTTAAAATGGTACTCTAAAAACCCAGATGCACTAAGCATGGACTAAGCGTAACACAGTATGTTATGCACAATTAGCCTTGAGAAACTTGTGTTCTTCTTTTGGAGATGACAGTGCAAAAGGGAATTGAAAGAAATGGCAAGGAGGCACTAGGCTGAGCTCAAGTCCAGTATTCTGCCAGTTTCATGGACAAATCCTGGAGAAAGAAGAATGCTCCATCCTTCCAGCTATGGAGGACACCACAGCAGGAAACATTAACTGCTCTCAAGTCAGATGACCATGCTCCCTAAGAACAGTTAATGTTTCCCAGTTTCCAATCTTAATCACTCTTGCATGAATGTTTGTTTCTGTGTAAAGGCTGATTATAGACTCCACACACATTGAAATAATAGATTTTGAGACAATCTTCCTTTTGATGCTACAAGGGTGTTTTGACTGCTATTCAAGACAGGCAAACCATAAACAGAAACACAGCACTGATGCTTAAACCTGATTAGAATAGTAATCTGTATGATAATTAACAGAGTAAGTTTCTCCAGACCAAAAATAAAGGTCCCAAACTTAGTGACCTAAAGAAGCCATTTAAAAGATATTTTTTATTCTGGACAGCTAACTCCAAACCAATTAGAAAGTGCTGCAAATCTAAAAGTATATTGTGTCTTTACATGTAACAGACAGGCCTAAATGTAGAACTTCACTCAGCCTTAACTGTGACATGGCAATTAGTCACTTTCTGAATCTAAATTAAGGACAAATAAGTAAAAAAGAATCTTCAGTTACTTTTTCTTCACCTCTTGTACTGTTCACAGTTCTCTATCACCATAAGTGAAGAAAGCATGAAATTGTTTTTGCTGCAGCCCACACTGCATCAACTGCAGTTTCAGTAACCTATATATCACAGTAATTAAGCAGAGCTTTTAAAATAAAAATCTTGAAAGCAACAATTATTTTTTACTTAAAGCAAAACAGACAGGTGTTAATTCTAAATTATATTGATACGGCATCTTACCGCGACTTGCTTCTTTATCTGCTGGAGTTCAAGTTTTATTTTCTGGGAGAGCAGAAAAAATGGTACATTTTATTACTGTATATAAAACCACAAAATCTAGAAATACTAGTGCACTTGCACGATCAGTAACTATGACTATAATCCATAATGTGAAAAGGCAGGCAAAACGAGCATGGTTTAACTCTATGCCCTCAATAGGTGTACACATGTGTATATTTATGCATATTTACTCAGTGCTGCGTATTTCCAAACAGGGCAAGACCTCCCACAACGTGCTGCTTAGGGCAGCTCAGGAGGCTGTTGGCCTTCTTTGCCACAAGGGCTCATCACTGGGTCACAGCCAACTTGAGATCCACCAGGACCCTCAGGGCCTCTTCTACCAAGCTGCTTTCCAGCTGGTCAGGCCCAACCTGTCCTGGTGCATGGGGTTATTCCTCCTGAGGGGCAGGACGTGGCACTTTCATTTGTTCAACTCCACGAGATTCCTATCATTCCATTTCCCCAGCTTGTTGATGTCCCTCTGAATGGCAGCACAACTGCCTGCTGTATCAGCCCCTGCTCCCAGCTTTGGATCACCTGCAGACTCACTGAAGGTGCACACTGCCCCATCAACAAGGTCATTAATTAAGGTGTTTAAAGGTATTAAATCATACTGACCTCAGAGCCAACCCCTTGGGTACACGATGCATTTTTACATCTTTAAAAAAAAAAAAAAAGCAAGTACTAGAATAGCACTTTCCAAGATAGGGATTTTTACCTCATTTTCTGAACGAAGTGCTGAAAATTCACTTTTTTCCAAAATAATCATGTCCTTTTTCACGCCGCCAATATGGGACATTACTTGCTGAAGTGCAATTTCCTTTAAAAGAGGGAAGAAAAACCTCAGAACATATCATAACTATAAAGCTTATTCTCATCTCACCAACAAATATGATAGCTATTTTGGTACACTTAAATTTTTAATTAAGCCATTTCAGATTGATTATCTGGGTTTCAGAAGGCAAGATAAATTAGGTGACAGAATAAGCAAGTTATGCTCAAGCATTTGTAAAGTTTGACAAATTAGCAGTGTTAACACAGAATAATTCAATGAATAGCCTAGGAAATAGTTTATTCCTATTCTTTAAATTCTTAAGCAAGCAAAGGCACTAGGGAGAGAAGGTATGTCTCTGAGCTAAATGAAGAAAGCTGCCTGCCTCAGTGCAGCCATACTCTTTTATAATTACCTCCTTTTTACTTTCCTCACTCTGCTTCACTACTTAAATCATGCACTATACTAAACACTTTTAATTACTCTTCTCAGTCTGTTATACTGAGCTGACAGAAGACATACAAGAATTCTCTGCAACTTCCGAGGAAAACTTCTAGACATCGTTCTAGATCCTACATTATCCACACGTGCAAACAGGTACTGCCTTCTCTTCTCTGAGAATCTCCCCCTAATTAGCAGTCCCTTGCTTTTGATTCTGGAGTAAGAGCCCTATAAATCTTACACAGCACTGTGATTTCACTTTTGTCAGGAAATGCTGTTCTAAATTGCACCTGGAGATATCTCACCAGGCTACCTGACCATAACACTGAAAAAAATGGCTCAGTGTACCAGACAAGTTACAAAACATCTACAGAGAATACTGCCATGGACATCGCCTCTATTACTCCCTGATGCCTCCTGCTTGCTTTTGTTCTCTCCCGTCTGCACTGAGCTCAGTAAAACAGAGAACAGACTCTTCCATATTCTCTCTCTTCTTCATGTTTATACATACATATATCTTTTTTTCCTCTCCTCAGGCTTTGCCTAACCAACGTAACATTTCATCTTTTACATACCCAACTAGGACCTAATGTTAATAGCTACATCCACAATTTTCCAATTCCTCTTCCAACTCATCATTCTCTTTTTGCATAAGCTCTTACGCATTCAAAGACTATAAGGAACTACAGGTTCTATCATGTTGTCCAGAGTTCATGGCATACATGCCTCCTGAGCTGCTTCTACCTTAGCATGCCATACAAACCTGCACATTTCAATCCTAATGACAGAAAGTCTCCTGAGGGCGGAAGCTACCAGTCTTAGAAAACATTGACCCATCCGAAGCAACAAAGGAAAACCTGTCTACTTTCATTTATTTACATACCCAACTAGGACCTAATGTTAATAGCTACATCCACAATTTTCCAATTCCTCTTCCAACTCATCATTCTCTTTTTGCATAAGCTCTTACGCATTCAAAGACTATAAGGAACTACAGGTTCTATCATGTTGTCCAGAGTTCATGGCATACATGCCTCCTGAGCTGCTTCTACCTTAGCATGCCATACAAACCTGCACATTTCAATCCTAATGACAGAAAGTCTCCTGAGGGCGGAAGCTACCAGTCTTAGAAAACATTGACCCATCCGAAGCAACAAAGGAAAACCTGTCTACTTTCATTTAAAAAAAGCTGGGCAGAGAAAGAATCAGGGATGTAATGACTGCTTACTGTAAACTATAACCAATCACGCATTCTCTGATTGATTGTGGAACAAGTTCAGCACAGGGGTAGGAAGCCCACCCGTGTCTGCTTTGCCTGGAATCTAGGAGGTAGGAACTCCTGAGCTGCTTCTACCTTAGCATGCCATACAAACCTGCACATTTTAATCTTAATGACAGAAAGTCTCCTGAGGGTGGAAGCTACCAGTCTTAGAAAACATCTACCATCAGAAGCAACAAAGAAAAACCTGTCTACTTTCATTTTAAAAAAGCTGGGCAGAGAAAGAATCAGGGATGTAATGACTGCTTATTGTAAACTATAACCAATTATGCATTCTCTGATTGATTGTGGAACAAGTTCAGCACAGGGGTAGGAAGCCCACCCACGTCTGCTTCGCCTGGAATCTAGGAGGTAGGAGAGATGAGCTAAAGTCTCCCTAGATGGAAAGTGGTCAAAATTCAGGTCAAAATCTGCTTCTTATTGAGATCCCTAATGCCAAGACTATTATGCCATGGAGACAGCAGCTGCTGTTTTCCCATGCTTTAAGACACCAGCCTTATTACTACGAAGTAAATTAAAGTCTGTGTTCAGAAGGTGACTTGGGACCGTGAATCCCAGTCTCACAGAGCAGCCCAAGAGGTTGTACTTCAGCTATGCTTCTTGTCAGCATTGTCTGCTTGACTAGCTTACATGTCAGGGAATTCCAACATACCAGATATTGTAAATCTCATTCAAAGATGCTTAAGTTCCACATGCAGTGAATCTTGTCTTACTCCAAATTTCAGTTTCATTTCTGGAGCCAGACGCCTAAGACCTCAGCAAGGCAATATTCAACGCTGTTATCTAACAGCATCCAAACTATGCAAGTTCCTATATGTTACCAGTATAAACAACCAAACCAATCATGCCCTAAAAACATTATATAAAAAAGAAATCCAGCTCAATTCTAATCCAATGTAAGTGTCATAGTGACACAAAGAGATAAATAAACAGGTACCATGTAATAGGGTGGTAAACCACTAAGGAAATCTCTGCTTCCTTGTTACAAGTCTACAACATATGTAGGAGCTGTAACTATTCAAATCCATGCATGGAATAGCTCCTATGTCCGTCTAAAAGCCTTCTCAATACTTGTATTTTATGCTACAACAAGGATGAGACCAAAAAAAAAAAATCTACCTGTGGTTTGTGTACCTAAATCTCAAGGTCCACCACACCACTTTGATACATATTTATAAACTCAAGACAAAATTCACTAGCCAACAGATACACAGGAATATTTGTTCTTCACCTTCAAACCTTTAAAATAAAGTGTCTAACACTAATAAATAGAAACATGTATTTCATTAGCAGGCATACTAGGTTTTGATTTACTTCAACCCCACCATCCTCTTCGAGCTAACCTGCTGTACTTTGGTGACCATGTCCTTGTAAATCATATCCAGGTTGGTGTTCATAATTTTCACTAATGCAGACACAATGACCTCCGACTGCTGAGTGGTGAACCCTAAGCAAAACAAATCACAACAACATTCAGAGAGCACGCTAAATCTGGACAGTTTACAGAAATGCCACTTGCTAATACCCAGCACCAAGTTAAAACCAATGTCAGTTACGAAAGATAATAAAATATACTCCTCTTAGTCCAGCACTAACAAAAGAACAAAATCAGTCAGTACATCCAAGTTCTTCCACCTCAAAATTATGTCTGTGACATAGTACAGCTGCTTCTGTAGAACAGCATGATTACAATATCAGCAGCATAAATGATGGAAATTTTCTAGAAGTATTATGGAATGCCATATCTCACATGTGGATATTTCTATAAGCAAGAATTATGGCCCTGAAAAGCAGATACCTACTTTCAGTATACTATAAATCTTGAAAGCCACTGAAGATGTGCAAAATTCAGCAATTCAGAACAGAGCTAACCGCTCTGATTTTAGGCCTACCAACCTCTGAGTCACCTATTAGAAACCTTTTAAACTGAATATATTGGGATCTATTGTAAAACATTATCCCTAGAAATACTCTTAACTTTTCTACTTTCAAACAAGTTCCTTTATGTTACCAGTGTATACAACCAAACCAATCATGCCCTAAAAACATTATATAAAAAAGAAATCCAGCTCAATTCTAATCCAGTGTAAGTGTCATTGTGACACAAAGAGATAAATAGGTACCATGTAATAGGGTGGTAAACCACTAAGGAAATCTCTGCTTCCTTGTTACAAGTCTACAACATATGTAGGAGCTGTAACTATTCAAATCCATGCACGGAATAGCTCCTATGTCTGTCTAAAAGCCTTCTCAATAATTATATTTCATGCTACAATAAGGATGAGACCCAAAAAAAAAAATCTACCTGTGGTTTGCATACCTAAATCTCAAGGTCCACCACACCACTTTGATACATATTTATAAACTCAAGACAAAATTCACTAGCCAACAGATACACAGGAATATTTGTTCTTCACCTTCAAACCTTTAAAATAAAGTGTCTAACACTAATAAATAGAAACATGTATTTCATTAGCAGGCATACTAGGTTTTGATTTACTTCAACCCCACCATCCTCTTCGAGCTAACCTGCTGTACTTTGGTGACCATGTCCTTGTAAATCATATCCAGGTTGGTGTTCATAATTTTCACTAATGCAGACACAATGACCTCCGACTGCTGAGTGGTGAACCCTAAGCAAAACAAATCACAACAACATTCAGAGAGCACGCTAAATCTGGACAGTTTACAGAAATGCCACTTGCTAATACCCAGCACCAAGTTAAAACCAATGTCAGTTACGAAAGATAATAAAATATACTCCTCTTAGTCCAGCACTAACAAAAGAACAAAATCAGTCAGTACATCCAAGTTCTTCCACCTCAAAATTATGTCTGTGACATAGTACAGCTGCTTCTGTAGAACAGCATGATTACAATATCAGCAGCATAAATGATGGAAATTTTCTAGAAGTATTATGGAATGCCATATCTCACATGTGGATATTTCTATAAGCAAGAATTATGGCCCTGAAAAGCAGATACCTACTTTCAGTATACTATAAATCTTGAAAGCCACTGAAGATGTGCAAAATTCAGCAATTCAGAACAGAGCTAACCGCTCTGATTTTAGGCCTACCAACCTCTGAGTCACCTATTAGAAACCTTTTAAACTGAATATATTGGGATCTATTGTAAAACATTATCCCTAGAAATACTCTTAACTTTTCTACTTTCAAAAAAGTAGGAGTAAAAATGTCATGAGCAAAATTTAACCATTATGAAAAGAAACACTTGCAAAAGCATGATTGTTTCAAACTATCAGTTAAGTGCTAGAAAGCACGTAAGTGGTCTGAGAGTGAGTTGCTCTCAATAGCTGACCTTTTGCCACCACCAAAAGGAAAAGATACCCCTCCTCTCTCTCTCATTCTTGCTCCGCTGGCCAGTTTGTATGTGTCCTGGTGCTCACACAACTGCTCTGTGAGCTCATTAACCTAGCATCTCAGAATACCAATCAACCAATCAGGCAAAAGAACTGTAGAATTTTCTGAGAATTAGGTTAGCACATGGAAAGAAATGAAGCCACATGGCAGGGAAAGAGACTGGGACCTCTCCTCTTCAGGGATGGAGAGCTGTCAGAAATCAGTTCAGCTGTACTGAACCTCGCCTTAAGTTATCTTCCCCACTTCAGCACCAGTAGTTAGTATGAATCCAAAATAATCTATTCCCTTATCTGTGTTTCAGCATAAGAGCAACCATATTTTATATAGTATTCTACGTTATAACCTAAACCCTGCATTTTACATAGTAATCCATATTCAGTTCTATTATAACCCACTGTTGCATATTCAAGGTGCTATACACTAAATATACCACTACCTTGAAAACTGGTTTTTATTTTCAATTCTTAAAATTTAATTTCTCTTTAGCATTTTTAACTACCAATAGGTTAATAAATAATTCCAATCAAAGTTATATAAACTCACTGGTTCCTCTTCGAAGTAGAAAAAATTTACATGCTCTTATCCAGTACATTAAAAATACCCCTAAAACTGAAGCTGTAACATCACGTCAAGAAGAAGCAAGTAACAAACTTTGTAAAATAAAAAAATCACTCATGAAATTACACTAAAAATAGCTACCCGTTTCTAGCAAATTACCATTTTCTTCCAAGAGGCATACCAGCGCATGAGTGTCAAAAAAAACCTTCCTGGTTCCCCATAAGGAAATATTCCCTTTGCTTTGTAAAGGTGATGACACACAGACGCTTATATCTGAAAAACAAAAAAAGTAGACAAAATGTAAGTTAATTTTAAGAAAAAATATTTAATCAACATGTTAGCTTTCCAGAAGTTTCCTTACTACCCCAAATATTTTTTCTTCTATGACAAAATATTAGACTGTGCATCCAGATTATCGCAGCTTGCTTGAAACTGAAAAGGTATCTAACAAGCTCTATGCGCAAGAGCTTTAAAGTAGACTACAGTGCTAGTGCTGCACTTCACAGAATCACAAAATTGTCACGGTTGGATGATTCTGAGATATTGTCCAAGAGCATCTGTCCTAGAAAAAACCCACCAAATCTCAGGGTCTTGAAATTGTTCCTTGACTATAATCAGTATAAAATATGGAAGCTGTGAGCACTTCTTAGCTCCGAGGATGAAATCCACAGACTCTTTCCACTATTTTTTAAAGAGGTGAATCTTCATTGGTTGCCCTTTAGGCACTAAAATGCTATTAGAAGAATTAGCAATACACCCCCCAAACATCACTATTACAGAAATGAGGCATTCAGGAAAATTCAGTACCAGTGCATAAACTCACTGACAGAAAGAATGCAAAACGGAACATGAGGTTATCAGGAGGTGGAATCACGGAATCATCAGAGTTAGAAGGAACCTTCTAGAGATCATCTAGTCCAACTCCCCTGCTAAAACAGGATTGCCCAGAGCACATCATCCAGGTGGGTCTTGAAAATCTCCAAAGAAGGGGACTCCACACCCTCCCTGGGCAGCCTGTTCCAGTGCTCTGCCACCCTCACCATGAAGAGGTTTTTCCTCATATTTGAGTGGAACTTCCTATGTTCCAGCTTGTGCCCGTTGCCCCTTGACCTGTCACTGGTAACCACTGAAAAGAGTCTGGTTCCATCCTCCCTCAAACTGCCCTTTGGATACTTGCAAACGTAGATAAGGTCTCCCCTCAGCCTTCTCTTCTCCAGGCTAAAGAGCCCCTGCTCTTTGAGCCTTTCCTCGTAAGGGAGGGGCTCCAATCCCTTAATCATTTTAGTTGCCCTACACTGGACTCTTTCCAGTAGTTCCCTGTCTCTCTCAAACTGGGGAGCCCAGAACTGGATGCAGTATTCCAGTTGTGGCCTCACCAGTGCAGAGCAGAGGGGGAGAATGACCTCCCTCGACCTACCGGCCACACTCTTCCCTGTGCAGCCCGGGATCCCATTGGCCCTCTCGGCAGAACTCTCTGCCCTCAAGGACATTGCATTTTAAAACGCTTGGGTGGGAGAAAATATGACTACGCCTTAACCGTATTACTGAAAGATCCATAAAGAGCAACCAATTTAAGTTCCCGGTGGGGAGGGGGAACAGCGGTAACCATTACCCCTACCGACACTTCCCGCAGCCGCTGCGGAGAGCAGCCCACCCGCTACCGGCAGCCCGGGAGCGCCTGAGGTGACCGGGCCGCCTGAGGTGACATCCCTCCCCCCCACCCTCCCCGGTCCCTCCCCACGTCCCTCAGCGCCACCTCCCTCCTCCCAGCGCTCACCCCGCTCGCCGCACCGCCGCCGCCGCCTCTCCCGGCCGCTCTGGCCCACCCGCCTTCCCCACCCCGCTCCGCCGTTACCGG